TCTGCGGGGCCGGAGGGTTTGCTGGTAGCGCCTGGGCCGCCTCCGCAGGGTTACACTGTAGCCACTTGGACGAAAAGCTGCTTTAAACCTATGACCGTCTTCCGCCAAGTGTAACGAGTCATTCACTTTTCCCTGCACCGGGCGTGACGGGGCCATGGAGAGGTGACTTTGCCTTCCCTCCTGCGGTTGGCAAACTTGGCTGCATATTCTAACCACCTGAGCAACTCTGAGACTCCTGCCGCCCAGGCCTCATCCCAGACCAGTTAAATCGCGCCCGTGGGGTGGCGAGCAGGCGCCGTTCGTTTCCGAAAGCCCCGCGGGGCCCTCAGCATGCGGGCGAGTCTGGGAGCCAGTGCGCCGGGCTTGTGTGCACAGGCCGTGGTCCCCGGAGAGGCCTGCGGGGGAGCCTGGGAGCGGGCCGGGGGGGCCCCAGAGCCCCCCAGCTGATGGCCTGGTTCTCTCAGCGGGCTCTGACCGGTCAGCCGGGTGCTGTGTTTGATCATTCTTCAGTTTTAGGTCTCCAAACCGCAGAAAAGTTAGCTGGGCCTGGTGACTTCCCCGACTTCCACGGTGAGCCCTTGTTGCCTTCTGTGGGCCAGGCAGGAAGGAAGCCTAAATGAGCCCGTGTGCAGAGCTTTGATGGAAATACCACCGTCTCTTAGCAGGGTCTGGGGCCCAGAGGCCTGGTCCTCTTTCTCCTGTGTCAGGGATTCCCTGGGAGCTGTGGGATGTTCCTCTGTGGCCCTCACAGCTGCTCCAAGTTAGAGAGGGCAGTTGGCATGCCTGTCCCAGGCCTGCCCAGGTCACCTCTAAGCAACAGGTCTCCACTTTGCCCAGCCTGGGGCCACTTCAGCAGCAGCCGCAGCAGCAGCAGGGAGAACAGAAAATGACACCTCTTCCTGTCCCTGGTGGCAAGGAGAGGCCGCTATCAGACCCGCTGTTGTCCAGTAACTGCTGGGTGCTGGTCCGGTGTGGGGCCAGTTCCCCGGTCACCTGTGAATGGTCACCAACCTCACTTGGTCATGGGATTCATTCAGCTCCCAACCTGCACCCATGGGGTACCCCTCCCCAGGAGGCAGGTAGGGGGCTGAGAGGTCTTCTCTTCCTCTTAGGGATGTCTCCTCCTCCCTTCTCAGTGAGTGACATTTTTTCGGCAAACCTATTCTCGTTTTGGAAGGAATCTGAATCAATAGTTATATATGGAAAAAAGGCTGCTCGTCTGCTCTCTCGCTTGGGCTGTTTGGTGTCCCCCCTGGTGCGACGCTGCTGGGAAGGTGTCAGCACCCCTGACCTGAACTGTGTTTCGTTACCTGCAGCTGCACCTAGAGTCGCTCGCTCCAGGTGGCGATGAGACCAGGTGCTGTAGAAGGACCAGCTGCCTGTCTTCAAAGCAGAGATCATCATTAGTGGCCCTAACCTGCTTAGAGTTTGCTGGGAAGGTTAGAGTCAGATGACTTACATCAGTGGTTCTCAACCTTGGCTGCACATTAGAATCACCTGGGAATCTTTTTAAAATCCTGATTTCTGGGCCTCATCCTCCAGAAATTGTTTCTTTGTTATGGGGTGGGGCCACAACATTAGTAACAAAGAAACAGAATTTCCAGAGGATGAGGCCCAGAAATCAGGATTTTAAAAAGATTCCCAGGTGATTCTAATGGGCAGCCAAGGTTGAGAACCACTGACTTACATGAAAATTCTCACCTTGAAACAGAATACATGAGGCCACCCTAAACAGTGCATCATGCCTGGCTGGTGTGGCTCAGTGATTGAGTGACAACCTATGAACCAGAAGGTCACGGTTCGATTCCTGGTCAGGGCACATGCCCGGGTTGCCAGCTCGATCCCCAGTGGGGAGCGTACAGGAGGCAGACAACAAATAATTCTCTCTCATCATTGAGGTTTCCGTCTCTCTCTCCCTCTCCCTTCCTCTCTGAAATTAATTTTAAAAAAAAGAAGGAAAGAGTTCTTCATTAAGTCTAGCCCTTGAAGAAAGTAGCTGTTCTGTTCAAAGAAAGTCATATGTGACATTTTAGGCCAAAGCTCAAAATGGGTGAACTAGTGACCGGACTGACTGGTTGGAAATGGGAAGGTTGGGTGGGTGGCTGCTCGAGCTGTTGCTGGGGACATTCATGAACACCATAGCCTGAGAGGCAGGGGCTTGGCAGAAGAATGGGAATCTGTGGCATTTGATTCGTTGGGCTCTTAGGCCACTCTCCCCCGCCACACAGGGTCTCATCCCAGGTTGTCACTTTCTCCCTCTGCACCCAGGCTCAAGAATGGGACATGGATGCCCGGCGACCTATGCCTTTTCAGTTCCCGCCCTTCCCAGACAGGGCACCCGTCTTCCCTGACCGTGTGATGAGAGAGCCCCAGTTGCCCACGGCCGAGATCTCCCTCTGGACCGTGGTGGCCGCCATTCAAGCTGTGGAGAGGAAGGTGGATGCCCAGGCCAGCCAGCTGCTAAATCTGGAGGGACGGACGGGGACAGCCGAGAAGAAGCTGGCCGACTGTGAGAAGACGGCTGTGGAGTTCGGGAACCACATGGAGAGCAAGTGGGCCGTGCTGGGGACCCTGCTGCAGGAGTACGGGCTGCTGCAGAGGCGGCTGGAGAACATGGAGAACCTGCTGAGGAACAGGAACTTCTGGGTCCTGCGGCTGCCCCCCGGCAGCAAGGGGGAGGTCCCCAAGGTATGTGGTGGAACGTTCTCCCTCCAGGAGGTAGCCTCCTCCCAGTCCCCACAGAGTCTGCATGCTTCTGTCCTTGACCTTTCCCCTCCCTGAGATGTCTGGGTGTCTGCAAATTCCTGAAGCTTTCATGCTTGGGTTTTCCACTTGGCACCGAGTGACCATTTGTCGTTGGTTATCTTTGTGTATGCTTTTTGTCTGAACGTGGCTGGAGACAGACCCAAACCACGCTGATTGGAATCCCTTGAAAGTCATAACCACTACCCTCCCGTGTCCCCTCTCACAGTTCCTATTCCATTCGCAGAGAATTCATGCTCCGGTTCCTATTCCAATCGTGTTCCCCTGGCTCATCAACACCTCACTCTCAGTCCACGGCCCTGGTTTCTAGTCCACTGAAAAACTGGAGTCACTCACAGGTGACGTCCACGTGCAGCCACGGCATTCATCCATCCGTCCGCCTTGTGCACTCTGCCTGTTCTGTTCCCATGGGCTCCCTGTCCCCTGTCACTTACTCCAGGAAGTTTCTCCAGCATGTCCCCCTTTTCTTCTGGGACTGGCCAGCTGTGCAATCGAACACCCCCCTGGCCCCTGCATTTCCCTCCAGTTAGTGCCTAGATTCTCAGCTCTGCTGTAGAGCAGAATTCCTTCAACTGACTGGTCTTTATGTCTCCAATTCTTGCTTCTCCACTTTCTTTCCCTCCCTTTTTAACCTTTGTATTGTAGAAAATTAAGGCATATACCAAAGTAGTTAGAAGAGTATAATGAAACCTCGCAAACCCATCATCCAGTTTCAATAATGATCAACTCTTGGCCAATCCTGTTTCATATAAATCCCTACCCATCACCTTCTCCCATTTTATTTTGAAGCAAATCTCAGACATTAATTATTGTGTTTGTAAATATTTCTATATGTAGCTCTAAAAGGTAAAGACTCCTTTTAAAAATGAATAATCTCAATATTATTACCACCACAGCAAACGCTTCAACCTCCTCAAATATCCAATTGGTGTTCACATTTCCAGTTCTTTAAAAAATGTTGTAATCCCCCCACCTCCCATTTGTTTGTTGGTCTGTTCATTATGATTGCTTTGCCTCCTAAGTCTTTTTTGAATCTGTAGGTTCCTCTTCCATCTCCTTCACTTTTTCTTGCAATTTCTCTGTGGGAGAAACTGGGCCATCCATCCTGTCGAGTTTCTCACTGGATTCTGCTGCTGCATCCTCCGTGGCCTCATTTACTGTGTTCATTGGCTCATGCTTCCTGGCACCCACCCCATCAGGCTCTGCTGCCACCTCTCCATCCTCCTGGTCTTGCCAGAGCCCTCATGCCCTTCATGGTATTGAAGCCAGTGGGCGGTTCCCAGCCTTCCTCCTCCTGGCCCGTCGCAGCATCTCCTGGAGGTGACCTCGCCCTCCCTGAGACACCGTTCATGTGGCTTCCAGGCCACCTCTCGGGGTTCTTTTCCCACCTCACTAGCTGCTCCTCTCCTCCTCATCGGTTTCACCTCCTTTCCCGACTTCTTATGTTTGGAGTGGGCAGGGCTCTGTCTGACCTTCAGCTCATTCTCTACACTCCCTCCCTCACGATTTCATCCAGTTTCAGGGTTTTAAACCCAATCTGTGTGCTGTCAGCTCCCAAACGTTGTCATTTCTTCCTGCTCTTTACCTTGCCCACACTTCCTTGAATGCGATTCACATTCAGCATCTCCCTGGGGGGTCGGTACATATCTTAGGTTTAACATGACCTACCTGAGCTGACGCTCTGCCTGACACCTGTTCTGCCCAAAGTTGTCCTCATCTCTGGGGAAGACAACTACATCCTTCCACTTGCTCAAGACAGAAGCGTTGGGGTCACACTCCTTCCTCTTTCTCACACCAACTTCCAGTATTTAGTAAATACCATCTGATTTTTCTTCAAAATAACATCCATAGTCTGATCATTCCAGCAACCTCCACCACTCCCACCACCCTCATCTCTCATCTGGTTTTTGCCATGGCCGCCTGCCTGCACTCCTTGTCTCTGTCCTTGTCCCCCAGCCCATATGACCTGTCCTCAGCAGAGCAGCCAGAGTGGTCCTTTTCAAATATCAGGCAGTCATATTACCCCTCTGCTTAAGACCCTCACCTGGCTTCCCGTCTGATTCAGCGTTAAGCCCCCGGTTTGCCAATGGCTGTCTCTCTGACCACCTTTCTGACCTTATCTCCACTCCTTTGCCCACTCCTTCCTGGCACAGGGGCCGTTTACCATTCTGCCATCACACTGTCCATCCCTCTGAGGGACTTCCCTCCACTGAAAAGTTCCCTCCCTCCCTGTCACTTCCGCCAAAGTCTGCTCAGTCGTCACTGGATCAGTGTGCCCTTCTGTGGCCCAAGGGAGCCACGTCTCCCCAACCCCAGCATGCTCTTTTCTCTGTGCCTGCTCTCATGTTCTCCAAGCACTCACGCCACCAGGCATCTTAAATATTGACTCCTGTTTTTATCTTCTTGGTTGATTCTCTCTGACCACAATGTCAAGTCTGCTTGTTTCACTGTTGTGTCTCTGTGCCTATAATAGTGCCTGGATTCTAGTCGGTTGGTATGCAAAAAATTCTTACCGAGTGACTCCAGCCGGAGAGCTCACACCCCCATGTACAGGACCGGGTCTTCTATGTCTGTATCTGCAGAGGCAACGCCCAGTGATTTCGCCAGAGGAGTTGTTAGACACAGGTTAACTGAGCCCTCATAGAACCTAGTTGGAATAGTGGCCTGGTTCCTCCATAAGGCCGTCCCTGCCACCGCAGTCCACGAAACGGGTTTTCAGTATGGCTTTTACAGTGCCTGTCCAGCACAATCAGCACCTCTCGCGGTGCTTTATGGTTGACCTCGGTGCTCTGTCCTTACGTGGCCTTGTTGTGTGTTCTGTGCGTTGGATCAGTATTAGGACCCCGGAGTTGACATGTGCCATCACAGAATGATGGAATTGTTGTGGGGTCTGCAATCAGAGGACTAGGGTTTGGATCTCAGCTTCATATGTACTGTTTTCCTTACCATTGGTCAAGTAGGTGTTTTGCTATCGCTGAGCATCCTCGATCCTTCCTTTGAAAGAAGTGAAGTTTAAATAAATACCAGTCTAGGAAGTTTCCAGCTGGTCTCTCTGAGCTTGTGCTCTCTTCTGGAAAACGAAGGTGATAATATGCTTAGTGCATGGAGTTGTGAGGATTTGTTGGTTTTGCTGATGGGACAACACTATGTATTAGTTATCTATTGCTGTGTAAAAAGTTACCCCCAAATGTAGCAGCCTAAAAAAATCTTGCCCTTTTTGTGGGTTAGGAATCCAGGAGCAGCTTAGCTGAGTGGTTCTGGCTCAGAGTCTCGTGAAGCTGTTGACTGAAGGCCTGACTGAGGTGGGAGGGTCTGCCTCCAATATCACTCACTCATTTGGCTGTTGGCAGGAAGCCTGAGTTCCTCCCCTTCTGGGCTTCCCCACAGAGCTGCTTGGGCATCCTCCTGACATGGCAGCTGACTTCACTCAGCGTGAGTGAGTCAAGAGAGAGACTAGAATGGAAGCTGCAGTGTCTCTTGTGACCTAGTCTCAGAAATCATACGCCATCACTTTTTCATTTATTTCTTAGAAGACAGTCACTAAATCCTGCCCACACTCAAGGGGGAGAGAAGTAGGCTCTGCTTTTTTTAAGGGACTGTCAAATATATGGACATATTTGAAACCCCCACAACCATAAAGCACTGTGGGAATATAAGTTCGTATTGTTAGCAATTATTGTAATTCATTGTGGACTCTTGGCCGTGCTGGATGCATCCTCTTTGTCAGATTCAAGGAAGGCTGTTGGCTCACAGATCCTTGATGCCTCTTGGATTCTGTTATGTCTGTTCATTGGTTTGCAGATAATTTGTGGGTGCTTTTTATTTATCTAGCTAGACTGTAGGCTCGGGCCATGTCTCAGACTTCTGTTGTATCCTGACATAGTGAAGTTTTCAAAAGTGACTGTGAGAATTTCCAGCTGTGAGAATATGGTTCTAGGATGTTGACAGTCCACAGAAATGGTGAAGTGAGACAGAGGAGTTGGGATGTCAAAAAAACAATGAACTTGATTTTGGATACGTTTAGTTTGAGGTATTTAAAAGATGATTAAATAGAGCCACTCAGAAGACTGTCGAAATGTGAACTATGAAGGGAGCAACGAAAATTGAAGGGTGTCGTCTACAAAGAGGTAACCGTTGAAGTTGTGAAAAGAATGAAATTGCCAAGGGAAGAGTGAAGAAACAGGGAAGGGCTAGGGCAGGACCTTGGGTCTTGGGGGAGGGAAAGGAAGCTGTAAAGAAGACATGAGCCACGAGGGCAGGAGGCAGCATCGTTGTGGAAACCAAGCAGGAGAAAAATCCCACCAAGGTGGTGTGACCTTTCAAAGGGTGCAGGTTAGCAACAGGAGACCACCGATGGCCTTCCAGGGGGGGCTCCAGAGAGTGGGGGTTAGTAGAGACACATTAAGAGGTTCAGGATGTGTGAGTTGTGAAGAAGAAAGCACAGAGTGTGTCTTGGGTGTTTCAAGTGAAAGGAGAATGTAGAGCTGGTTGCGGTAGCAGAGTTGAGTGGGGTTCTTCTTGGGTTGGATGACCCTGGAGGGAAAGCCAGTGGAGGGGGGACTGAATGGCCATTTGGGTTAGGTTTCCCAGGCAGGAGGGAGAGGAAAAATGAAGGGCACATGAGGAGGGGTTTGGCTTGGCAAGAAAGAGAAGGGCAAGGAAGGGAGCTTGCCAACAGCTCCCCGAGATCAAGCAGAGACTGGGGAACGTGGGGTAGAGTTTGAAAGAAGCCTCTCAGGGAGCAGCCTGAGGCAAGGGATATGAATGCACTGGGCGTCACCGCAGAACGTTGTGATTTTTATCAGCAGCAGGGAAGCAAAATGAAGAAAGTGGTCTGCATGGGCTGTTCCAAGTTGGGGACTCACCCAAGTCTATTGAGGGTCCAGGGAGTCTGTTTCTCAAGATGGCTGGTGAGCTGTGATCAGCATGTAGGTGTGTGTATCGTGCCTGTGCAGGAGGCCCTTAGGGCTGTGAGCACTGGTGCACGGGCTGGCATTCCTAATTAATGGGAGGACATTGCCCACCCACCACACTGCACCAGTGAGTGGAAACCCGAGGGCTGTCTCTCATTTGCACACAGGTGGCTCTGTTTGTGCAGGTAGGAGACTGGTGGACTAGGCTTAGAGCCTGGGGGAGATCTGAGGGGTTGGATTTCAGAGAGAGGGTGAAAGGCTGGTCCATTAGGGATGTGAAAGTGGTGGGAGGTAAGGCTCTGTGGTCAGAGAAGGGAAGTTCTGTTATTAAAATCATGGAAGTGAAACCATTTTGAACGATTCAGTCCCAGGTGAGGCCATGCTGGTGAGTGACAGACAAGCATCCTTGTCAAACTGAAATAACAGCTTAAATAACAGATTAGACTGCCTGGGATAACGAGGGACTGACAGTCGACGGTGGGTGACTCAGGCTACAGTGGAACTTCCTGGTATTGGCAACCGCAATTCAGCACATTCAGCAAATGTCTTGATTCAAACTTTGTGCTTCTAGATGCTTGGGACATAGCTGTGAACAAAGCAGGCGGCGATCCCGGGCTTCCTCGCATGCCTTTAGCTATTACATGGGTAGTGACCAAAAATGTCACTGTGTGCCCAGAGGTGACCTGACCAGAAATACAGGTTTTATAACAGGGTTTTACTGTGTTAGGCTCACTGATACCCTCTCAGAACTGACCACACCCCGTCTCCCTGAGCGCCAAAAGCAGCACAATGACTCCTCCAGCTCTGCCTTCATGAACCCAGTAACCTAAAAGTGAAATTACAGAGGGTATGGTAAATGCTTAAAAAAAAAAAAGAAGGCAGTGTTGGCCATCATTGTTCTGGACACACAAGATCAGGAACAGAATGGACTGACCCCATTGAAATGGAGCGGGCTGGGGAGGAGGACGGGGAGCCCTGGAGAGCAAAGGCCGGGCTCCAGGGTCACATGGGCCCCAAGGTCTAAGAAGGGGAGGCAAGGGGAGGTGCAGACTAAAACTCTTGTTGGCCCAGGTTCCGGTGACTTTTGTCGACATTGCTGTGTACTTCTCTGAGGACGAGTGGAAGAACTTGGATGGATGGCAGAAGGAGCTTTACAACAACCTTGTGAAGGAGAACTACAAAACCCTCATGTCCCTGGGTGAGCACCCCTCCCGCCTGCGTGGCCGCGGTCCTACAGAGGGGTGTGGTGTGCCTTCAGCCCACGTTCACACTACCTGGCCAGGCTGTTTCTTACTATTGGAAACTTAAGACACGATTTGCTTATAATGCAAAGGAGATAGAATGGTTCCTAATCGGATGAGAATGAAAAATCCAGGAACAGGGCCGATCATAGGATCGAATGCCACCACTCTTTTGGAATACGGTCGGAAGCGCTACATCCCAGCAGCCTTGATAAGCCACAGTTGGCCTGCTGCTGGCTTTCCGAGACCAGCTATTTCCACACCAGAAATTGGGGTACCTATGGACTCATTTTCAGGTTCCTCCTAAGAGATTGATTACCCGATGTGCTCACATAACGGCTACCACCAAGAGGGGCACTCAGCAGGGGGGAGGGGAGAGTTCTGCCAACGCCCTGGATCATAACCCCTTGCTCAGCTTCACTCAGTCCTTCCTTCCTTCCAACTCATTCCAGACGCAGAGGGTCCTGGGCCCAAGCCAGAGGCCCCATCCCAGGCTGAGCCCAGGGAAGAGCCTTGCGTGTGGGAGCAGCGTAACCCAGAAGAGAGAGAAATCCTGATGGATCCTGACACAGGTGATGGCAGCTAAAAAAGAAACCCAGGTCCAGGATAGGGCAGGAGAAAAGCCCTGCCCACCCCCCTACCCCCCGCCTCAGTTCAACAGGGGCTTCCTTTTTTAAATTGATTTTTAGAGAGAGGGGGAGAAAGAGAGAAACATCAATGAGAGAGAAGCACATCAATTGGCTGCCTCCTGCACACCCCCTACTGGGGATCGAGCCCACAACCCAGGCACGTGCCCTGACCAGGAATGAACTGGTGATCTCTGGATGCATGGGTCCACGCTCAGCCACTGAACCAAACCGGCCGGGCAGCAGGGGCTTCTTTTGAGTTGTTTGTGGGGCCAGTTCTGCCACCGTTGAAATTCGGTGGCCACTTACAGGAAGAGATTTCAGGGCCTGAAAGCCCACCAGGGTGCTGGGGTAGAGCCGTGCAGCTCTGGACGCCCAGGCAAGCTGGGGAGAGAGAAGGGGACCAGGCAGGCTTGTGGCATCCCAGGCCTGACCGTGACCTGCAGTGAGAGGCCTGAGACCTGGGGGCAGCCCCATGGGAGGGCGGAAAGGGCGTGTGCATGGACGTGCAGTTTTGCTGGGGGCCTGCTGCTTCTTGCCCATGTGTCATCTCCAGTATCGTCATCCATTCTCACACAGACCCCCACATCACAGGCAGACTTATTACCCCTAAGGCTGTTTCCTCACTCAAGAAGGAAACCCAGGTCCTGCAGCATCACCCCTGGTCAGCTTTCACCTGGGATGGGAGGTGCTAGGCTTCCCGCCCCACTGTGCCCTCCAGGTCCTTTCTCGGGGCTGCAGCTCTCCTAAGCCGTGTTGGACCAGGTGAAATCTGTGCTCTGACTGTGTTCTCTGCCTTAGCATATAACTCACCTGTCCGTGTTTGGCATTTTTGCTGTAAGCATCTTTGCTGCAAGCATTTTTGCCACGTATGTTTTGCCACACAATTGGCCATAGGCAATTTCACCACAAAAGATCAAATAACTGGCTGACATTTTGGTTTATGTTTGACAGACTTCACGTATTTAAGCTGATTATCAGTTTGGTTTTTCATCTGCATTGACAAGGTTCTCACAGTGTTCGTGTTATTAAATCTTTTTTTTTTTTTTTTATTTGGGAGAGAGGAAGAGAAAGAAATATTCATTTACATTTCACTTACTTACGCATTCATTGATTGATTCTTGTATGTGCCCTGACTGGGGATTGAACCCGCAACCTTGGTGGGTCAGGGTGATGCGCTAACCAACTGAACTACCCTAGGCCAGGGCCTCTTCATTTATTTTTTTCTACATTTTTTGCCTTCTTTTGGGTTAACTCAGGGGTCCTCAAACTTTTTAAACAGGGGGCCAGTTCACTGTCCCTCAGACCGTTGGAGGGCCGGACTATAGTTTAAAAAAAAACTATGAACAAATTCCTATGCACACTGCACATATCTTATTTTGAAGTAAAAAAACAAAACAGGAACAAATACAATATTTGTATTTGCATGTGGCCCGCGGGCCGTAGTTTGAGGACCCCTGGGTTAACTGATCAATTTTTATGATTCCATTATAGCTCTTGTATTGAATTATTATTTATATATATTTAAAAATTTTCAGTGTTTACCAGAGAGTTTTTCCTTCTTCTTAAAGCATTTTTTATTTTCAATTATAGTTAATATACAATATTATATTAGTTTCATGTGTACACCTCAGTAATTAGACATCATGTAACTTACTAAGTGATCATGCCAATAAACCTCGTACCCACATGACACCATATATAATTATTAGAATTTTATTTTTATTTTTTTAATCCTCACCCAAGGATATTTTTTCTATTGCTTTTTAGAGAGAGTGAGTCAGAGGGAAGAAGGCGGGGCCGGGTGTGTGTGTGTGGAGGGTGGAGAGAGAGAGAGATATACATCTATCTGTTGCCTCCCACAGGAGCCCCAACCAGGGCAGGGATCGAACCTGCAATCTAGGAATGTGCCTTTGACACAGAATCAAACCTGTAATCCTTAGTTGTGCAGGCTGATGCTCTAACTGCTGAGCAACACTGGCCAGGGCTATATTATTGACTATACTAGAGGCCCGTTGCAGGAAGATTCCTGCAAGAATAGGGCTTCCTGCCGCTGGAGCGAAGCAGAGAAGGGAGCAAAACCCGCTGAGGCGGGCTTCACTCCCGCTCCCAGCCGCTGCGGCTGGGTTTCCCCTCCCGCCTCCCGCCTCCGCAGCGTTGGTCTGTTCCTGTCTCCGCCGCCTCTACTTTTCTCTCTTCTGTAGCGCTTTGCTTCCACGTTGTCTTCAGTCTTCGCTCCCAGCCGGTATATGCAAATTAACCGCCATCTTGGTTGGGTTAATTTGCATATAGCCACTCTGGTTGGCTGGTGGGCATGGCTTAAGGTGCAGCAAAAGTACGGTCAATTTGCATGTTTGTCTTTTATTAGTGTAGATTCCCTATGTTGTATTTTACACCCCAGGACTGTTTTGTAAGTACTGCCTTGTACTTCTTAATCCCTTTACCTTTTTCAACCATCCTTCCAACCCATTCTCCCTCTGGCAACTATCAAATTGTTCTCTGTATCTGTGATTCTGTTTCTGTTTGTTTGTTTATTTTGGGGATTTTTATTTGCTTAGATTTTCATGTTTTATTACATCCTTTTTATGTCTCTCTCTTGTTTTTTCTTATTTTTATCTATTATGGCTGAAACTGCCGTATGGACTGTTAGTTGTACAGTGAAAATGCTTGTGGCAAAGATGCTTAGGCTGGAATACCTAGAACCTGCAACCGTCTGAGGTCGGCGGCCGAGGCAGCCTTTCACAGTGACAGCACTGAGTTATGGCCCATCAGTGTGCCCGTAGGGCAGGGACCACTGTGTCCATTTTATGGGTGGGATGAGCAGGCAGAGCCAGAGAAGTCAAGTGACTCATCTACTGGGCTGGGGCAGAGTTCAGACCAGGACCACATGTTCCGATTGCTCCTCTAATCTCTTTATTGCTGCCTGAGCTGTCTCCTGCCGGGGCTGGTACGTCAAGCCATAGGACAGCGCAGGAGGAAAATGCCTTCTTGTCAGGTGTCAGGGTCTTGTCCTGTCTGTTATGTGTAAGGATGCCATGCTGTGCATCCTTATGGGGGGCTGGGTTGCAGCTCTTTGCCTAGTCTAACTTCTTGCTAATTATGTGCCTGTGTGAGTGGGTGCACGGGAGTATGAGTGTGTATATCTGGCCACCTCTTTCTGACTCGGGTGACAAGCAGGACCAATGAACTCCTCCTACACCAAGGTCAGACTAGTCCTGAGTAGCACCCAACCCAGCGTGGGGCTGTTTCTACAACTCTCTCCTGGCCTTTCACACCACATTTTGCTGCTTGGCCCAGTCGTTCTCAACCTTCTGGCCCTTTAAATACAGTTCCTCATGTTGTGACCCAACCATAAAATTATTTTCGTTGCTACTTCATAACTGTAATGTTGCTACTGTTATGAATCGTAATGTAAATATCTGATATGCAGGATGGTCTTAGGCGACCCCTGTGAAAGTTTTTTTAGATTAAAACAGTGAGTTTTAAACAAAGAAAGCAGAACTAGAACATCTTAAATTTTTAATCCTTTCTTTACAGGTTACCTAAGACCACTTTTGATTAAGAAAACTGTAGAAAGTTAGTAACTGCCACAAGCAAACGCCAGGTGGTGGCCTGTGTCGATTTTCCACAGAGTCCTGCTTTGCGGGGTGTCTGAATGCACTGCTCGGGGTCTCTGCTCACACTTGCTGGAATCAATCGTGGCAGATTTTAGTCCACAGGTCGCTTTTCCCCATATTTCTTTGTAAACTCTTCAGCATTCTTACAGAATTTTTTACGGTCCTTAGAGTATTCTTCAGCTAGGTCAGCCCGAAGGGGGTGCTCAGGCTGGGGGTCATTCACCAGTGCTATGAGAGACTGGATTACTTGGTCGGTTTTCGTTGCTGACTTCCAGCTTTCAGCACTAATTACCGGCAGACAGACCTGTCCCTTTTCATCGATGTTGGGGTGATAGATCTTTGTTTTAAATGTAATCTTCGGTGGTTTGAATGGGTATTCTGCTGGAAAGTTGATTTCGATTCTGAAGGCCCCCTTATCATATGGAGGGTTGTCAGGAACAATAAGCCCTTGCCAAGTCAATAAATTAGCTTCATCAACCTGGATGTTACGGAAGTTTTTCATTCCACATTTGCGGATTTCTTCAAGCTCCTTCATCAGCCTCCTGCTGGCCGCCATCTTGGATCTGGTGCTGCTGCTTTCCCAATGTCGCAGGATGGTCTTAGGCGACCCCTGTGAAAGGGTCTTTCGACCGCCAAAGGGGTCGCGATCCACAGGTTGAGAACCACTGCTTGGCCTAACCCCTGAATGTCTCTGCTCCCAGGACTTCTGCTCATTGGGGTTCCCCATAGTTGCCTGCAGGATCCCGAGACTCCCTGTGCTCGTCCCTGCTCCTGACCCCAAGAGCACATCCAGATGACAGTCATTCAGAAAAAAGACACTAAATGATGTGATTTTATGTCCCAGGAGCGGAGCCCCTGGTGCCTGCACAAGATGCGTCTCAGGTGAAGCGTGAGGAAGCCCTGTGTGTCCGGGGTCAGCGGGGCCTGGAGGAAAGAGCTATCCCCATGGAGTCCATTACCGGTGAGTGAGCCCAGTAGCCGCCCACGCCAGGGAGGAAGAGGAAAGGTTTGGCAGGGTCTGCAGGTCCCAGCGTTGTCTGCCATGTGTGCCAGACGCGGGGCCTGAGCTGGAAATGGAAGAGCTGTGGGTCCAGGATGGATGGAGAGACAGGGTTTCCCCCTGGGGCACAGACGTGGCACACAGCATGATGATTTGCCAGCACATCTGGGCTTAGTTTGGTTTTCTCTGTTCTTTGTAATATGATCAGTTTTTAACTATTCCTTTTGACAAGCAAGGTTAGGGCAGCACTTTATGACGCTCTGTGAGTGGGGGAATGTGTCGGTCCGTAAGACCTGCTCCTGACCAGGAAGAGTGTTCACTGTTTTATACAGATATTCATGGGCTGTGGCCTCCAGGCACCAGCTCGGTTGCAGTCCTGTGGGGTAGTCTGGGGAGTTCCTCTTAGATGGCATTGCAGCTGGACTCTGTGTGAGAACTCTGTTAGAGCACATGTGTGTTGAAGTTCTCCAGAGAACCAATAGGGGTGGGGGGTGTGGGGGGTGTGGGTGTGT